AAGTCAAGAAATATCGCAAACAAGTTGTTACACTCGGTAGCGGTGAAAAGGTTTGTTTATAGATTAAAAAGCAAAATGCGTCAAAATGCAATGGAAAGAAAGTTAACGAATTAATCATGACATCATGAATCCTGTGAAATTGAGCCAGATGACAATATCAGATTGTCAATTTGAAGTTTAACTGCTGCCCTTTTAATTACATATTTTTGTTCCGCTGTATACTTTTGCAATGGTTTATTGGCACCGACTGGAGAATTAGCGGCACCAATTATTTATCTCAATGCGCCCCAACTCCTCATATTCCTGCAACTGTACTTTTGCTAATTTTCTGAAAATCAGTAAAAATATAGGAAACTTGGCTAAAGACAATTTTGCTTACTTTAGTTGTAATCATGTCACACCAAAAAACATTTTAATTTAAGCATATTGTTTAAATTATTGAAAGATTCTACACTTACAGTATTCATCTATCAGTTATTTATTTTATTATTATAATTGTTGTCATGTTTGCGTGTTAATTTGGTTATATTTATCCAATATCTATTTAGAAACTTCTGTGTACATTATCATTTAAATCGTTTTCCTTTCGTTCAAGCTGATCTAATGTCTGATCGATGTACACCGCTCTACATCTTATTAAGGATTTCAAAAATTGTCTTCTTAAAGGACATTTCAGCTCTGTTCTGCCGGACAACAGGTCTTCAGGTTAAATGTCAGTCTTGCGCTGTAACTACAGAATATAAAGACTGCATTCAGAGGCATTCCAACAGACCATTGTTGCCATTCTCCAAAATACAGTCTTTGTCTACGAATAAAAACACTATCATTAGGGCTGGATCCTGTCAAAGGCCCCAAATCAAACAATATCTTATCTTAAACATCAGTCAGTAAGTCAGTGTGCCGCACATCTTCCATCGTACAAACACATGCTGTTACTGTCTGCTGGGAGCTTTGCATCAGTGCAAGATAAAAACTATCACAGCTCCTGTACACGCGGTTTATTATCGCTCACTTCTGGATTGTGTTGGGACAACCTGCGTGCATCCTCTCAACATAAGCCTTAAATCCCCTTTTATACTGATGATCACAAATGATGTTTGTCCTCTATTTTCCCTTCTCATCATTGAGCCAGGGCATTTATGGAATCCAATAATACAAATAGGTAATAGGAAACATACGATAGGATACAAAAATAGAGGGCGATGCAAGTCAGTGATTTGGTTTTTAGTGGGAAATACAAGTTAATGCGATTTAATACAGGCTAAAACTCGACTGACGCGCGGCAGGTTTTGTAGAGGTTTTCGGCATACTGAAGGTCTGATCTGGGATCAGCTAAAAGAGACCTAAAAAGAGGTTATGTGGGTCAGGAACAAAAAGATGAGACTTACCTGAAAATCACCATATCAATGTCAGCACATATGAAAGACAGAAAGAAAAAGGTGATTAGAAACAGTTAAAAGTGTCCTATTTCTTACACATCTTTCCTTTAAGATTCGTGTGCACGTATGTTGTGCGTTTATGTGTATTTTTTGTGTACAGCAGCAGTGTGTAAACACCCTGGGCTGTGGGCCACATCACCAGATTTCCACGTCTGTCTTTTAATGAGGCCTTGCTGGTTTATGCATCACATCTCCCCCTAAAGCGAATTATCATCTGCTAATCTGGATTTACACATGGACTACATAATCATGAGTGTGTATCGCTGCGCGTGCGTGCGTGTGCGTGTGTGTGTGTGTGTAATGTGTGTAGAAATGCCCTCTCAAATTTCAATATGCATCTCGCACAGATAAATATGTCCTGAAAGACCTTTTCATACAGCCTAAATTCATAAACAGTGAGACACAATTCTGATTCTGGCCGCTGGTGTGCCACGGTGTGGTAAATATTGAGGTTAATATGTTGTCGGCCTAAATGTGTAAAAAGCTACGGTCAAGACAAGTGAAAACCACAGTAACAATACAATTCCACTAAATCCCTCAATCTCCCTACTTGCATGTTAACACGGAGCACTCCTACTTGCCAACGGATATCTTGATAAATTACAAACAGAGTCATCGATTTCATTTCCTGTGGTGACTTTCTGTGCACAACACATGAAAAGCATACACTGCAAGAAGCAGTGAAGTAATCGTGTAAAGCTCAGATCCTCAGCTGCCAGACGGGGATTCAGAGCGGCTGAGGCCCGGGGCCCGACTGTCCGTTCAATTTCTTAACTGCCTGCCCGCTGAATCGATTGAGACATGCAGCCACGTGGGGGAGATCAATAGCTTTGATTGAGGAGATTGATCAGGTCACTGTGTGTGGCAAAGCAAGGAGGAGGAAGAGAGGAAACGGGCCTCTGAGGAGGCAGAGGGAAAACATCGGTGATAACACAATCACCTCTTTCTCCCCGTTACTAAACTGTGGCCACCTACATATGATCAGAGCCTTTTCTAATGAACTATTCTCTTCCTTCAAAGCTCTGTCAGATGCAATTTTCAATGCCGTTCATCAGGGAAAGTATTTTATTATTTCTTGTTAGCATGGATTGGATCGGGAAGTATTTTATGATTCTTCTCAGGCTAACAAATCAGAATTTTTACACATGATTGGTTCAGAGCTGTCCCAATAGGAAAGTCAAACTGAACCACACCAGGAGGCACTCACTCGCACACACGTTTCCTTGGCAATTGAAGCAAAACACCCAACCAGTCAAGCTGGAGGCTGCGTCAAAATTGCAGGTTTTGGAGCCACAGGCACTCATTTTAGGGCTATATTTACACACAGGCACAATGCACGGCTGCCCATGTGTCTTATAATGGGTCCTGGCAGTCGTGTGGAAGCAAGATCCAGATGTTATAAATACTTTAGGTTCAAACTAGAGGGGTATTCTTATGAGATGTTTCCTCTGCGTGGTGTTCAGCGTACATTCGTACAGTATGCGTGAGCTATGGATAGAATAGTTTTATATTGACCTGTCTCTGACACCGTCTCTGGCCTAGAATTAGCTATAATTAGATAAAGACTGAATATGAGACGGAGAGAGAAAGAAAGAAAAAAAGAGGGCGCGTGAGGTAGAAAAAAAAGCTCAGTAGGAGAGAGCATCAGTCTCTGAAAAACAAATCTACTATCACATTCTCTTCGTCTACACGCCGAGCTGTTAGCTCACAAACAACAAACACTCCCCCTTCCTGACTCTACCTCCCAAATAATCAATAGCGAAAATCAAACCTATCAGAATATTGAATTACAATGATTAACAATGAAGGACTTGAAACGAGATTTGTGAAAAAAATCATTTTAGATAAAAAAAAAAAAAAAAACATTAACAAGATTAACAACATTTAAAATAAGGCGGGATGATTAAGCAGAAGAATAATGTGGAATATAGCACATTCAGATAAAGAAAAACCTTGGTTTCAACGATGACATTCCAAAACCGTAGCTGCAGCTCGACTTTGAGAAAAATGTGAGGACTTCAAACCATTCCGTCCATGTGTGGCCCCGAGCTGTTTTAGGACGGGGCAGGTTCAGAGGTGTTGGAGTACCCAGGAAGGATTGACACATGCCATAAATGACGACGACGACAACAAGCTCCATATGCGTGTGAGGCAACGCAAAATGGCAACTTGTGCTTACATGCAAGTAGCTCCACGTGTCTTTAAGGACCTAGATAACTAACTAACTGGAAGTACAAGGTCAATGTCAAAATGATATTGCTAAATATTGCTACATTGTGAACGACAAATGTAGACGTGTTGTAGCTGCTAGCAGCCGGTGGGCAGCGCAGTCTTGCTTTGCTAAACAACAGAGCTAACGGCTAATGCACGGAGGTTGCATTGAGTCACATTATGACGTCTTTAAGCTACATTCAGTAAAAAATGGTTTTAGGCAAAGGTAAATTATCATGATGCGTTCAAGTTAGATTCAAAGTAAATGAGCAACAACCAGTATGCAGACGTAATAAAAGGAGTGCATGATGTAGAATTTATTCAGGTTTTTTTTTTTTCTGGGTATTGAGAATCGTGGAATTTTACTGGTATTGGTATCGACAGCTACATTTTCAATATCGTGACATTCCTAATGATTATTGATGTCAAACTAGCCCTCACTGATGTGAGTCCAGCTGAAGCCCGTCACTGCAGCTGGAGACGATGATGAGTATGGGTCAGAGTTGATGAAGAAAGACGTGAGACTGTAGCGCAGCATCGGTGTCTTTTTCCATTTTCAGGTTAAGGTTCGGATACAGTTACAACCATTGTCCCCAAAGCCTTACTGACACCACCGACCAAATAGACACACATGCATGTACACGCACACACACAACTAATGAAATGATCAATAAATAATGAGCCTAATGAGGAAAAACAAGATCCCTGAGATACTGAGGGGAGTATAAATGGCATTCTTACCTCAGTCAAGATGAAGTCTAGATATAAACTATGAATGTCACCGAAGAAACTTAATACTCTAAAGTATTATCACTTGGTCTGAGCCTCCACACACACACACACACACACACACACACACTCCCTGGCACCAAACCCTGCGCTCACATCGCTACCAGCCTGTGACATCCCCTGCTTCCGGCCTGACGCATCATTGTTTACCTATCGCGCACACAAAGTACCCTTTGAACCCCCCCCCCCCCCCCCCCCTCTCCCCCCCCCCCCCACACACACCCCCCCCCCCCCCCCCCCCCCCCCTCCTCCTAACAGTCCCACTGATCGCGGACACCTCCCACGCTCTTCCTATAGCAACCAGGAAGTGCCGGGGATGTGGAGATGGAGAACAAGGGCCCATAAAAAAAAAAAAGACAGTGACCCACTTCTTGCTTCGCTTGTGCATGCAAAACAAGTCATTCACTGGCTTCCGGGCAGAGCGCAAGAAGGAAAATCCATTCAAACGAGCTCACAACTTGTGATACAGCCAAGCATACACCATGTGGTTTGTGCATCTCCTGGAAGATGTACAACAAGCAGTGACGTAGCTCGTCTCGTCATTGCGTTCTCCCCTCTCACCTATTTTATGTTGAGGCTGGTACACCCAGCTGTCATCGTCCTCGTCTCCGTCCGCCGCATTGAGGCGAGTGTGCGAGTACGGTTGACGGTGGTTGTGGGCGGCGCGGAGGTCATTCTGGCTGTGGAAGATGCGTCTGCTCTGGCGGGAGAGGGTGGACACGTTCAGCCAGCTCAGAGCGCGGGACAGGCCAGCTGGTTTCTCCTTACGAAAGGAAGCGGACCTCCTTTCCCCCCTCATCCTTATTCAGGAGAAGCTAGTCTAAGATGTGAAGGTGTATGCCTTGAAATCCAAGTTTTAAACTGGGAAACAATAATCCTCAAAAGTAGATCCTTAACCAACCAAAGTCCAGATCATGAGATTCCATACATTTCTGAAAAAAAGCATCCAGGTCTGCACACATGTTAAAATGCTTCAAACTATTCAGATGACATATTACGTATTAAATTAGTTCCAGGAGGAAATTCAGCTCGAACCCAGTTTTCCTTCACTTTGGTTGCACAGTTCCACATCATGACTCTGACCCGGACAGTCTCAACTTCCAACGTCTTTCTCCTTCAATCAATCTCTGTGTCACCAGCCAGACTTTAAGCCAGACTTAAATCATCTCTTTTCCTTTCTTCTCGTCCTTTGTATTTAAAGACTCCGGGCGTGATTCCCAAACCCCAAAAGTGGTAATTATGCAATCCAGCATTCTGAAGAAGTCACCGCCCCTCTGCAGCACACACTCAGATACACACACTTGCATGCACGCTTCACTGTTGGCTGTGCTACTCCTTGGTGGTGCATAACAGGGTGGAGAGAGATACTTTTTCACTCACAGCGAGTCAGCGGGTTGTTGTTTACAACCATGTGTGCTCCCGAGTGTTGTTATCTCCAGTTGTTGGCACACACACACACACACCAGCTGACTTGCACCGTCTCAGCGCCAGAACAGACCAGGGGGTTAGGAGGTGTCAGTGTCCCTGGGTCTATTCCCAGCCTGATGAAGTTACATGCACATTCACACACTCGCATATGAAATCCACAAGTTCCAAACAGGGGATCCTCTATTGTGTAGGTGTGTGTGTGTGTGTAGATGCCGGGGGGGCAAAAAGATGCCGCCGCCTTTCTCCGATTTCCAAATTATCCCAACTTCTTGTCAACACTTGCTTCTTCTTCCTCTCCCTTCTGTTTTGACCAAAATTCCCTGGTATATCGTCGCCACCGGTGGCTCAGGGAGAAGCATGCCAAGTACGCTGATGTTGTGAAAGAAGTCCAGGTGTTGACAGCCGTCTGGAGATCTGAGATCTGAATCTCCTATCAGCTGATCAGCACAAGTGAAGAATCAAGAAGTGGAGACCACACCTGCTGAACACACACACACACTCAGCATGGCGTGCAGACAGGCTGATAAGGAGGATGTGCTGGTGAGGATTCCCTGAACTCCGGTCCTGGTCAGTGTGTGACTGACTATGAGAGTTGTCTGTGTGTGTGTGTGACTATAGGGTTAGCGTTACACCCAACCCGAGGAGCCACGGTGTTGAAATACGAGTCAGCCCGTCCCTTCTTCTATTCCTCCCTCCCTCTTTCTCTCTGTTTCCTGCAATCCCTGATCTCTGCCCCTCCCATCCATTCGTTTGCCGGCATGGCAACCACTCCTCCGCCACCTTTTTCTCCCCCTTATCCTTCTGTTTACTTTCCTCGTTCTCCTAGTCGTCTCTAGTCCCTCAGGTGCGTCCTCCTCTGAGAAAAAGGCACAGTGTTTAAGTGCAAGTAGTGTTTCATCTACTCCATGACAGGAGCAGCCACAGAGTATGAGAGAAAACGTACACCTGCAGGCGCTAAGCTGTATAATACAATTTATGGTCAAACTGTTTAAAGACACTTTTATAGCAACTGCCGTCAGCTCACACTCCGCCTGAGGGGCTGGAAGCCACTGGTCGAACGGCAAATACCCGAGTCCCTGAAGACAATAACAACCACGACTTCACACCAACAGGACATGGTCAGTCAAACGCTTAACACTAAAGTGGTTCATGTTTTTAAAGACGTATGATAAATATGCACTTGGTGTATATTCTTGTGTAAAACATAATACACAGCACATATTTAGCTGCCCAACGTATAGTTACGGTAGGCTAAAATAGCACACAGAGGCCCTCGGGGACAAAAACAAAGTCTTTACGGGGCGCTCTAAGTGTGTTAGGGAGGTGGAGCTTTCCCACCCAAGTGTAACCGCAGAGGGAGTGTGACCACCAAGGTGTGACCACCAAGGTGTGACAATAAACTAGTGCTGTGTGTGTGCGTGTGTGTGTGTGTTTAAGTATATAAAGCACACGTGTCTCAGTAACACCACAACCCTAATCAATCCCTTTCACTTCCTTGTCTCTACAACCTTGATTAAACCCGAAGATAGAAAATTACAGGAAGTAACTTTTTTTCTAGACACTGATTTGAAGCTGGAACTCCTTGTTGTGGATCTTCTTTTGAGGAACCATTACGCTGCTGAAAGATGATCCCAGATTTGTTGCCTGGATGTGGTGTAAACCTAGACCCCCGTCGCTCCGACAGGTCCCCGACCTCATTTTCTTTTTCCCTTTAGAGGGGGAATCTGCTACCTCAGCACTTGCTGTTAACACAAAAGGGACAACTGCCTGCGACTGATGTCCCAGGTTAACCTACAAACACGCAACACACACACACACACTGTATATATATTTTAAGACCTTTGGCCGCGTTGATGACACATAAGGCCACAGTCCTTTAATAATTAACCTGCATTACTCTCTACTGTGCAGCAATAAAGTGATCAGCTACAGGCATAAAGGGACTGCAAGTATGAAATGAAAACAAACAAGTGATTAAGACAGCAAAGGGCAATATGTTACTGGCTTTGACGAGGGAAATGATTAAATTCACAGCAACAAGCCAACATGGAGTCAATCTACAAAAACTACTGGGGGATACTAGAGAGACCAGTTTAGTCTATTGATTTCCTCTTTTCAGGAAGAAAAGCTCGTTACCCCCGAAGGGAATTAAAAAGTCAAAGGTCATCATAAGAGGTCAGCATCCTTGTTCAACCCCCCACCTCACTTCCTTTTGATAGATCTCCTTGTTTTCATTCCCTTAAAGCTACACACAGAGAGGCGACAGCAGTGACAAGAATCAATATGTTGAATCGGATGTCTGTGGTGGTGTAGTGGACGTTTAACAGCTTTGGCTTGGCTGCTTCTGGTCAGATGAGAATATCAAGATCAGTCTAAATACTAAATAATAAAACAATAAATGACGCTAAATATTGGTCTTTAAAGGAGCAATAATATTTTTTTATTTTATTTAAATTGTATCATAAACTAAGAGATTGAGTTGTAGATGGAAAACGTCTGTTTCTGATCATGACTGAAATAATGGGTCTTTATTATTCCAATACTTCTCATCACTAATTAAGTAACAGCATCAGAAAACATTAAAATATATTATTTGTGTGGTGTTTGTACTAAAAGACCTACCTCTGGATTTTGATAGGGTTCCAAATTGAGCTTCAGCTCACATCTGGGTCACAAAGTTTGCCTAATTGCAACTTTACTACTGTAATTAAGTAAAAGTTCTCCACTTATCAAAACAAGACAACTTGTAATGTTAATTCACAAAATATCAGATGTACTACTGTATCACGTTCTGGTCATTTTCTTTCCTGCTGTTAGTATTAAACACAAAGTTCCTATGCTGGTGGAAAAAAATTGAGATTACAGTAAATAAGTAATTAAGAATAACTTAAACAGCATCAGCTACTGCAGGTCCCAATATGTAATAATATATGTGCAATATGTCTTATCGAGGAAGTGACTTAACAGCAAAACATCAACATAAGACGATATCTTTAGAGGCGTGTGGCCGTGATTAGCAGTGAGACGATACAGACCATAAAACAAGCTGCTGTGTAAAACTGTACGGCTCACAAAGTCGGTTTGGGATATTCCTCTCACACACGACAAGAAAGGACACGAGGCAAAGTAAAAACAGGACCGTACAGTGCTTTGATTAAAGCTAAACTGAATCAGATAAGATCAAAGGTCATTCGAGGATCATTCATCTGCAGATCTTGCTGTTGTTGGGGAAAATACTAATTTTTATAGTCAGAAGACACAATTTATTCACACACTCTTGCATCAAAGAGACAGCGTGACGCTTCTCAGAGAGCGAGTTAAAAGACGTAGAAACAGATTAGACAATGTGGATACAGTGAATGAGACAATCCTTTGAAAACACTGATTGTGAAGATAAAACATCTGACTCAGAAAAGCAAACAAAAAAAAAAAAAAATGAAGGAGAAACCAGCCAAATGATATATATCCTGCTGTGCTGAATAAACATCACAAAAGGTGAAAAGTATACATTTAACCTTGACACACACACACACACACACACACACACACACACACACACACACACACACACTGTCATTAATTGTGTGACACAAACAGGAGATGGTGACATGAGACCCGGTTGCCAAGAAACCCAATGAGACATCAGAGGCCGGCAGCGCTCGACATCGATACACGCGAACCAGACACTGTCACACAATGGGTAAATACACTAGAGCAGCGAGCCTACCTGGATGCAACACATAGCTAACGCACAAAAGCAGCATTTAGTGGATCTACCTTGTCTTTTTTTTCCCCTCAGGAAGAAAGAAAAAAAAGACAAAAGCCTTGGCTGAGTGTTTCTGCCAAATACCAAAACCCAGTAAGTAGAGTTTCACAGAGGGTGTCTCTCAGCGGTAACACATTCACAGAGCCAGTTAAACACAGGGGTTCAGCTTCACCGCAGCGGAAGGTTTTTATTACCAGACAGCACCCCACATTTACTGAGACAGTTATATGGGAGTTGATGTTTGTGTTTACGTGTGTGTGTGTGTGTGTTTTTAACAAAAGCAAGATTTGGAGATATCAAGCCAAACCTCTTGAGTAGGAACTCAACTGGTTTCCCCACTTTGGTTTCATTGCAATCACATTCAGATCAATGGGAAATGAATTAGTCTTAGGTTAAGATGTGGTTTAAGGGTCAGAGTTATGGTTTAAATTAGGATACACCTCAAGGGTAGTAATGTAAGTCAAGGAAAGTATGCTCAACTGGTGTGTGTGTGTGTGCGCGTTCTATATTAGGTGCCTAAAGGAGTTGTTGGAATTTTCACTGAAGGGTAAGGAGGGCCTCTTCTCCTTACTTGGACACTAACTTGCAGGATGCACAAATGCATTTCAGTCGTGTATGCGAGCAAATGAGTTCATACTGTTTGCAGAACTGAACGCATGGTACTCGTACTAGTGTTTGTCAGCTGTGTTTTGTTTACACATAAATTACCTAATTTATTTTCCATACTTTCCATTCAGATATCCCAGATGTTTGTGGGAAGTCTGGTGTAACTTTATCACACCGTATGTAAATAAATGGTAGTGGTGTTTACTGCACGTGGATGCAAAGGCCTGCTGCAGGAAATGGAAAGAGGGTCAAGCACTGAGGTTAACAACAGCAAGACAACAATGATTCTGACTGTCTTTGTTTCGCCATGACGAAAGCTTACATAGGCATTGATTAGCTGCAGTATCTCATCCTTACATGGCCTTCCTGAGTGTATGCACTGCATCACAATCTTATCTTCACACGACACTAAAAACAGCATTATTTGCAGACAACTCTTTGCTACTGTTTGACCTGAGATGCTACAAACTCTGAACCCTGGCGTCTCTTTGAACCTGAGAGCTTAGCCTTCCTCTTCACTGGCTTCACTTTACACATTACCATTCAAAACTGCTTTTTAAAGTAGGACATCTCAAACCTCACATTTTCTTTGACGTCGCCATTCAGCAGCCACATTAATAGGATTATTGTGTTGCGATGCCTTGAGTGTTTGTGGCAACCTCTTCAGACTCCCATGAGGCTTTGCAAAGAGGTGATGCGTCATTCGCACTGACAGTAACAGACAAGAGCCTCTGCTGTCACTGACTTCAATGTGTGTTTATGTGGTATGTCAAAGAAACCGCATGATTTATGTGGCCATGTGATAAGGTTAGTGTGTAGTGCTCGCAAATGTTGTGTACGCAAGTATTTGCATATACTGTGGTGTGAATACGTGTGTAGGAGAACTCACTCAGTGAGCCATCTGAGCCCCGTGAGAGTCCACAGACTAACCTGGCATGATGCACTTAAACTGCCACTAAGATCGATGGGAGGTTAAAGGTCAGGTGAGGTTGCCCTTTATCATTATTTTCGGGAGTCTCAGTACAATGAACAAGCTTGCGTACACACTCACAAGCAAGATATACACTACACACACACACACACACACACACACACACAAGTACAATTCTTTTTTATGTAACTCGACCTTAATCAAACTGCAGTGAAAGAAGTGACTAATCCACATGATAATGGACAAGGAGGATAAAGAAAAAATGAGTCACACAGTACAAGATGTCAGGTTTACTGCCTAACAACTTCAAACCTCAAGGGGGCGGGACGGATCAGGGCAGGGCCCGTATCCCCGCAACAGCCCTCTGGTGGCGGAGGATAGTGCTACTTAAGGCCCTTGACGGAGCTTTGAAGGTAAAGCTCAATTATTGTGGATTTTCCTGAAACCTGAGGGAAACTATTGTCACAGGAAATAATCAAGTTTGGATTTGGATTAGTTTAAATAACTTGCATCCCAAAATGTGTGTGTTCTTATGTGTTTTTTTGATATGATTAAGAGCTAAAGTGATTTAACATCCAACATTATCTGATGTGAGGATCTTCTGCTCTTCTCTGTCATGTATATACAATAACTGACTGAATGTTTGGGGGTTTTGGCCATGCAAACGTTCAAGGCTTCTTGTTAAACCTTGCCTTGTTGAGGTGTAATAGCTATTTCTGACCACATGAGGACACCAGCAGACTGAAATTCCTCTGAGGAGTAAAGTCTTGTGTTCTCTGCTGGTCAGTGTAGCCTTGGTCTTCATTGGAAGGTTAAATGGGCCAGAAAATTGGGCATCTGTGTGTTTGTAAGTACATTATCTATCACACAAGAATAAACAACACTATCTCATGGCCCGAAGGAGATAAAGTGTGTGGGCAAAGATAGCAATCTTTAGTGAGGGATAACACTGCTATTTCAAACACTCGAGGCCTATATTTGGCCTCTGGCGCTTCCCTTTGGAGGACACACACGGACACACACACACACACACACACACACACACACACACACACACACACGGTCCTGTGTTGTTGTTGGACAGCGACTAAGCTGGTTCAAACCCCTGGACTCAACTCTTGTCAATTCACTGTGGTTTGAAGACAAATCCCCTCATTCCTCTGGCCACGTGCTCCCATTACTCCATTGTGTGTGTGTGTGTGTGTGTGTGTGTGTGTCACTTCCATTATTCTCTGGTGAAAGCTGTGGGCTTAGCTGGGAGCACCATTCTCAGACACCCCTCCTGTGTGTATGCAATTAAGAATGTGTGTGTGCATGTGTGTGGTTATCTACAGTCTAAGAGTCATGAGTGCGATTGCGGTTTATCCAAAGAGGCAAAGAGAAAACTGAAGCAGGTATTGACCTCTCACCCCTGACCCCATAGCAGCAGCTGACTCCAAGCTTAAGTCGGTCACATTTAGTTTCGGTGCATAAGTGTGGTTCAACACCAAACCAGACAATGCCGAGTTTAATTCCCCCACACACACACACACACACACACACACACACACTTTATGAACAAATGCATGCACCATCAAGCCAAAGGACAAGGAAGCACAGGCTGGGTGTGCGTTTGAGCCACATCTGTTATCAGCACAAGAGCTGGAGAGTGCTCTTCTTCCAATATGTGTATGATCACATGTGTTCCTGCTGTAGAAGTATAAAGTGAGAGATTAGTCCGTAGGATATGAGAGAGGAAGAGAGGAAGGAAAGGGGGAAGACAATGAGGTGATGCCGTAGCATGAAAAGAATAAAAGTTTGACAAAGGAGTGGCACTATAGCTTACAAGACAAATGAACTCCGGTAATCTGAGCAGGGCATTCTCACACACACTCAAAACACACACACACACACACACACACACACACACACACACACACACACACGCCCAACAGGCCAGCATCCAGTGGTTAAAGGGGAGAAAGGGTGCGGTCGACTCTGTGCATTCCTGATCAGTCATGCCTGAGTGGAGGAGCGTTTCAGGCAGACCTGAGCCCAGATGTATTTTGCATATGCATTGAGGTTTTCACGCAGTCTATGGTATTTATAAAAATCATATACAGATGGTGAATTTCAAAATACAAGAACAGGACTGAGGGTGAAGTGTGTGAATACTTAAGGTTCCACATCCACTTGAGTGTGAATACTTATACTTAAGGTTCCACATCCACTTGAGTGTGAATACTTATACTTAAGGTTCCACATCCACTTGAGTGTGAATACTTATACATAAGGTTCCACATCCACCTGAGTGGAACCATTACTATTCAGCCTCTATACAGTTTAGTGCTGAACCCATTCGACTTGTAGAAAATCATTTCCTCAAGCACTCTATGAAATCTGAAACCTGGCAAGTATTTCCTCACCGAGTGAACTAACAAACTTGAATATCGGCACACAAATAACACACAGTGTGAGCACAGATAAAGAGCATCCAGTTAGCAACTCAAAATAAAAAAATGCAGCCAGGTGGGTAATCAACATCTGAAGTATTTAGTGTGTTTGACGATGAGCTCTGAGCGTCTAGTTCGGCAGTCCGAAAGGTGTTCCCTCAGTGAGTGTATTCATGAAGTGTCAGGCAGCATGTTTGTTATTGCAACAATGTTGAAATAATGTTTTGCTTCATGTGGCTGAACCCGTTTTTACATCTCACAGGTAGGACGGTGCTCGGTGGAGAGAGCATGTGTGAGAGTGTTTTTTTATTGTAAGACATGCCAGGGCTCCAGAGCGCGACTTAAAAAAAAGTTTGGCAAACTAGTGCAACCAGTGTAAAACGTTGGTCATACATACACACACACACAGACACACACCAGAAATTCTTTGAACTTTACTTTGATATCGCTCACAAGAGTTCCCTTCCTACACCGTCTATGTCTTCCCTGCACACATGACTGCACGTGCACTTGTGTGTTTTTGGCGTTGTGAAAACACCAAGCTCCGTGCTGACAAAGCGCACGTGTGTCTATTCAACAGTGACCTCACACAGGGATATTCCACAACAGGCTGCGCTGCTGGAAACAATTTCTCAACCGCTGCCACTTAGAAAAACCTGCTGCCTAGAGATTCAGTGATCAATGTCCAACTATATGGGTCTCTATAAGCCTTCATGCGGAGGACATACCTTATGGGGTGTGCACCCATGCATAGGAAGTGCTCATATTTCAGATTTGGTTTGTATTTCAGAGTGTTACCTGGAAAGTGTAGTGAGCTAAGCTACCAGTTAAATACATTAAATGAAGCAGGGTGTGTCACTTTTTTTTTAAAAACAATAAAAACAAATCAACTACTCCAGGCCATGGTTTTCTGTGGTTTCAGATTAATCTCTTACAAAAATCCAGCTGGACCCCCGGGGGAGAAACCTACAGAATCTAAAGGGGGGGGGGGGGGGGGGGGGGGGGGTGGAGGGTTGGACAGTCAGACAGAAGCAAAGACAAAGTTCAGCTCATGTGCTGACAGCCAATCTGGCAACCCACCAGGAGTCCAATCTGGCAGCACGCCAACCAAAACCCCACTGGGACCCCGCTCACTACAGGTGCCCCAGTCTTCTGCTGGAGCCTCTTTCTTTGTGTGAGAGTGTGTCTGATAGGAATGTGAGGCAGAAACAAAGATACACCAACAAATACACAAAACAACGAATAGACACTGGAATATAAAAAAAGAAGAATGAGAGCAACGGTGTTTTTTTGCAAGTTTACAACCTGCCGAGAGGTGTGAGTATTACACGCCATGTGTTTACATGTATGAAGCCTTTTAACAAGCACACAAGTGAGAGGAAAACTCTCATAAAAACCAGCATGTGTGAAATAACGGTTGCAGCAGCCTTTTAGTAGAGCCATGGGAGAGTGTGTGTGGCCCTCACCCATCTCGCCAGTGTAGATGTGTGTGTGTGTGCGTGTGTGAGTGGATTTGTACTCTGGCCAGCAGAAACACACTTTGTATCTTAGCGTTGGCATCGCCACTGGAGGAAGGCATAGTGGAAGATATAAAAGCAGAAAGAGGTTAAGTGCAAAAGTAAGATGGGAGTGAGAGAGAGAGAGAGAGAGAGAGAGAGAGAGAGAGAGAGAGAGAGAGTGATTGAGACATAAAATAAAAGACAGAAAGACAGCGAGGGGGAGAGTGTAAATTATGCCGAGCAGACGGCAGGCCCACCGTTACTGTGACAATGAGGCCGACTTTGGGTCTGGCGTTTTGCCCTCTACAGCTGCGAGCTGTTTGACACACACACACACACACACACACACACACACACACACACACACACACACACACACACACACACGTTCGTTATTCTGAGCTCATCCCTCTTTATCCTGGCTGATAGCACTACATCAACCCAGCACAAGCCTCCTTTAAATGCTGGACTGAGACCAGCTTTAATTCACAAACACACACACATTCATACACAGATTCTTGTCTGCAACCTCTTTCCGCCCCGCTGGCTTACTTTCCTTACTCCTGATCCAAGAACAGCTCCCAAAGCAAGTCATCCCGTTAGTGAGGGATTTAAGAGCAGAATCCAGATCAGCAGTTGCTGGCCAGACCAGCTGGCAGCGCTGACTTCCAGCCGTTACACACTGGGGTTTCAAGGCGCATTACAGACAAACCATGGGTGTAATGGGGAACACACACACACACACACACACACACACACACACACACACACACACA